CTAAAACCCTCACATCTAATGGTCATGATTTTGCCACATACCCTACTTTTATTTACTTTTTACATTTTTTTTTGTTTTGGTTATACACCAAAATGATCCAATCTATTATATATTACGTTGTTTGCCAACAAAAGCATTATAAAAAACGTTGCTCTACTTTTTATACATGTGAAGGAAATTTTTGAGTTTCTATTCAAATCCATTTACTACAAAAGTTTTGGATAACCAAATTTCTAAGAAATGTATATACAAAAAATTTAAGGCCTATTCAAGTTTGGGCCAACTTTTTCGTCTATATAAGGGCCCATACTTTTAATTGGGCCATTGTTTCCGTCCTTAAACGTGAAAAAGCAAATTAACCGAATAAATAAAATTAGCAAAAAGGGAAAAAATGGTCGAGCGACGACGAATGACCACACGCATTAGCTTCTCGAGCCACACCGACTCGAGCCACTAAACCAACCCTAGTTTCTGATTTTCGTAAACGATGCCGTTTCGTTTTCATCACACTAGCCCGTAGCCAACAGGGTTGCGACACCTGGACATGATCAGTCCTCTCATTTTCTTGTTTTCCTCCTTCTCATGTGAATTTTTTTTTTTTAATTAAAATAAATTCCTAAATTTAGTCTCTCTACCGTTTCTCTCTCTTATCCGCTCCACATCGCCGCCGTCGACCGCCGTCGCTGTCCACAGCCAGATTCAAATCCCTCCGCCGCTAGTTTACCTCCACTTCTTCAATTTCCGTTGTAAGGTACGACGCGCTTATTCGCGTAATCGACTCTTCTTTTTGTGTCGGATTCGAAATGAGCTTCACGGTGGTTGCGTGTTTGTAATCTCTATGCGTTTGCTTGTTTGATTGTGTTATCGGTATGATACGTTTACTTGTTGTATCTCCGAACGTATACGGATGTTTCTGCTTTGTTTCTTCCTTTTTTTTCTCTGTTTGTGGCTTCATTGGATCAAATTTTAGATACTTTTCGGTTTCGCTTTCCTGATTTACGGTCTCATTTCTTGATTAGGGTTTTACTTTTTTCGATTACTAGCTTTATTTGGATGTTTATAGGTTCAAATTTGTCATGTTTGCTCATCGGAAACCATTAGAGAAATGCTTTTTTAGCATTAAAGGAAGATGATTTCTTTTGCCAAAAAGGGGAATTTTCTTGATCAATTCCCCTTTTTCTTGACAAATTTCTAATGCATATTGCTTAGCTTCTGCATTACATGTAAGATCTAAGGTTTGCTTTTTTTAGTGAGTTTGATTTTTCATTATCTTCTTGCTGGAGTGGTTAATCTCTATTAAATATATGTTTGATCTTTGTTTACTAGTTTGGTGGATGGAGTTGCTGGATGTTGTTTGAGATCGCCATCTGACGTCAATTCTCATAGACCTGGAAACTTTTCTACTTGGGGAATTTTTTCTGGTGGCCACTTTTTGGCCTGAAAAGCTTCAGGATTTAGGGAAAGCAGAGATTTTGTATAGTAGAGTGTGTCCGACTTATTGGAGCTGAAGGTGCAATACTATTTTTGTTTTAAGGAGCCTAATAGAAGTAAACTGGGTCATCAAACCTATCATCAATGTCAGAAGGTGATTTGGCCGTCATGAAACCAGAGGTAAAAGTTCATTCTTTTCTGTTACTAGACGATCTCAGTTTGGCTTTCTTAGTTAACACTTAACACTGCTCACATGGATATCACCTTCACCTCTAATGGAAAAGGACCCTTTAACTAGTATTGTTTAAGGTTGTGATGGTTAGAGGGTTGTTAGATATTGTGACATTCTTAGTAGTGAATATAGTTTTTAACAAACGAGTTTGAGTATCCCAATGACCTCTTGATACATGGATTTTGACAAAATAGCGTTTGAGTTGTGATTAAGCTTATTCATATCATATGAATTTATTTGACCCAGTTGTTAATATTTTCGACAGTCATGTGGATTTATATGGATGACTAAATGCATTTTGTGTTTTGCTCCAAGCTAAATCGGTTTTTGCTGTGTCATGAATTCAGACAATGAAGTCTTACATATGGCTTCAAACTGCTGATGGTTCAATTCAGCAAGTGGAACAAGAGGTTGCAATGTTCTGTCCCATGATATGTCAAGAGGTAATACAGAAGGGTGTTGGATCTTCTAAAAATCAAGCCATATCGCTTCCACAGCGAGTAAATCCAGCTATGTTCAGCTTGATTCTTGATTACTGCAGATTTCATCAAGTGCCTGGACGTTCAAATAAGGTTTGTATGATAACCTTTAAAATATTTTCATGTACATGCTCCATCTGGCCTCTTTCAATATATCTATTGATCCACTCTTTAGGAGCGAAAAACTTATGATGAAAAATTCATCCGAATGGACACAAAGAGGCTTTGTGAGTTGACCTCAGCCGCTGACAGTTTGCAGCTGAAGCCTTTGGTTGATCTTACTAGTCGCGCACTTGCACGAATCATTGAAGGAAAAACCCCTGAGGAGATACGAGAAATATTTCATTTGCCTGATGACCTTACTGAGGTATGTGCTGCTCAACATCTTCTCTTCTTAGGATGTGTCTTTTCCACCTGCTTCTCTTTTTGACAGCTCTTTAAGAATTTATCCAGGAGGAGAAATTAGAGCCTCTGAAGAACACAATGGATGATCCACGGATTCGACTACTTAATAGATTATATGCC